GGCTGGCCCGGGGACCTTCGGGGGGGGGGCGTCGGCGCCCGGCCCACGGACCGAGAGGAGCAACGAGGGGGGGGGGGGAGAATTTTCGGCGGCAACTCATGGAGCCTGCCGTACCATGTTGTCGGCCCCTGCGAATAGACGCTAATCGACGCTAAATGTGCGCAGATCGACGCTGAATCGACGCCAATCGGCGCTAACCGACGCGAAATCGGCGCCATCTCATCACTCCAGACGTCAATCGACGCTAAAGACAGAATTACGAGGGTATGCAAGGCTCCCCTGCCGAAGGAACTGGCACAGGAGGGAAAGCATATGATAAGCTGCAAAAGTACCCCTGACCCTTCGGGAGGAACCCAAGTCAGGAGGGCCAGAAACATTAGGGACGGGGAGTATTTTTTCTGCTGGTGCATCGAACCAAACCACCCAGATGTATTATACCCAATGCGAAAAACGGGGACCTAAGTGAGGCCACGTCTTCATCGTGTTATCAGGGTTAGTGGTCGTTGTCCTCGATGAACATCGACCTGGAATCGGCGATACATCGCCGATAGATCGGCGGTAGGACCCCGATTGCAAACCTGCACGTTCCTGGGCGGGGATGGGCCATCGGGCCCCCATCGGCGATGCATGGGCGATTGGGGGTCGACGCATCCCCCCCTATGGCTAACTCCCCCTATCGTTGCCCCCAGTGGACTCCCATGTACCTCTCGGCCTTCGGCGGTCTCACGTGGACCCCCTGTGGCCCCTGGCGATCTCGGGACAGGCTCTGGCGGTCTTCGGCGGTCTTCTGCATCCCTGCCTCGGCCTGCTGCGCGAGAGCTGCGCGGCTGCGTGCCACCAGGAGGCCATGATCGACCCAATGGCCGAGGGGCCTCTCAGAGGCTTCACGCTAGGCGGCGCGCACAAAAGGGGCGTGGGGGGAGAGGCTTTTTAAGAGGCTGCCCCTCAGAAGGCGCCGGCCTCACATCTACGGACACGGCCCACGCCTTCTAAGAAGCAGGGGTGTTCCTGAGAGGACTGCCCGCCACAACTCACCCCACTCTGCGCGTGGCCGCCTTCTGTACCTCTCTCGGCCTTTGGCGGCCTGCCGTGGACTCCCGTGGTCCCCGGCGGTCTCGGGAGAACGGTCTCGGGGACGGTCGTCGGCAGTCTTCCGGCGGCCCTCGGCGGCCCTCTGCGCGAGAGCTGGATGAAGTACGGGGGCCTTTCGCACGACGACACAGCGACCTTACGCCGCGGCTCACGCGGGGCGCCAGCGCGGCACGCTGCACTCGAGACGGAGGCGCTTGCGCGCGACCTTGCGCGGGCAGCTTGCGCGCCAACGTCGGCGCAGACGGCCCCGTGTTCTTGCGTCACTCAGATGGCTGCTTGCAGCAAGGAGGCCGGGATCGAACCCATGGCCGAGGGGCCTCACGGAGGTTTCACGCGCCCAGGCTCCAGTGCAAGCCTTCACGTGTAAGTGTGCGTGGCACGGGCGCGGGACGCACTTGTGTGTCACGCTTACTGCGGGGGGGGGGGCTGGCCCCACTGGGGTACGGCTGTGTCCTTCCAGGGGTGCTGCCGCGAAGCGATGGGATCGAGCATGCCAAAATCGGCGGGAGTCGCGCTCCTGTAGCTGCACAACTGCACAACCGCACAATGAACTCGGCCGTGCGGAACACTTCAGCGCTGTAGGGCAGGCTTCGCAACAAGCCATTATCAGAAGCCACCCATGCCTCACCAGAGAGGCGCAAGAGAAGCGAGATTCAGCACAGATCATCATCATCGTCATCAGCAGCAGCATCAGCAGCATCAGCATCAGCATCAGCATCCGCATCATCATCATCCTAATCCTCATCCTCATCCTCATCATCATCATCATCATCAGCAGCAGCAGCAGCAGCACCAGCAGCATCCTCCTCCTCCTCCTCATCATCATCATCATCATCAGTATCATCACCACCATTACCATCATCACCAGCATCACCATCAGCAGCAGCAGTAGCATGATCATCCTCCTCATCATCATCATCATCATCATCATCATCATCATCATCATCATCATCATCATCATCAACATCACAATACCAGTCATCCGCAACAGCAGCAGCATTAGCAGCAGCAGTATCATCGTCATCATCACCATCAGCAGCATCATCAGCATCAGCAGCAGCAGCACCAGCATCATCATCATCAGCAGCAGCATCACCATCAGCAGCAGCATCAACAGCATCAGCAGCATCATCTCTTCATCATCCTGATCATCATCAGCAACATCATCACCATCACCATCACTATCACCATCACCATCACCATCATCAGCATCATCATCAATCGTCATTGCCATCATCATCACCAATCACCATAATCGTCATCATCATCAGTCTCATCATCATCATCATCATCATCATCATCATCATCATAATCATCATCATAATCATCATCATCATCATCATCATCATCATCATCGTCATCGTCATCGTCATCGTCATCGTCATCGTCGTCATCTTCATCATCATCCTCACCCTACACGCAAGAGTGACCCGAAGCAAGAGTGGCCATTGGTGCACGGCTTCAGGGAGCCGCGGTGAGGCCAAATCCAAGCGCGCAAGCCAGTGCTGAGGGGGCCCCTGTGGGCTCACACCAAAAGGTGCCCCAGGCGATTGGTCCCCTGTGGCCTACGGGTCGCAGCCCCTGACCCAGGCCGAAGGAAAAACAAACCTCTGTTGGTCGCTCCTCCTCCTCTCCTCCGAGGGCGAGAGAGAGAGAGAGAGAGCGAGAGCGAGAGAGCGCGGTTAAGTGAGAGAGAGAGAGAGAGAGAGAGAAAAAGAGAGAGAGAGAGAAAGAAAGAAAGAGAGCGAGAGAGCGCGAGAGAGCAAGAGAGAGGGAGAGAGAGAGAGAGAACAAAAAGAGAGAGAGAGAGAGGGAGAGAGAGAGAGAGCGCGAGAGAGAGAGGGGGGGGGAGGGCGCGCCTCCCATGCCGCCCATGCCGCCCATGCCGCCCATGCCGCCCATGCCGCCGCCGGCGGGCGCGGGCTTCTTCTTCTCGGGCAGGTCCGTCACCACCGCGTCCGTGGTGAGCACCTGGGGGCCCGGCGGGGCGAGGGCCACCGCCGCAGGCGGGCGGGGGGCGCCCCGCGCTCCGGGCGGGGCCGCGGGCAGCTCGCGCGCGAAGGCCCCGCGCGGGGCCTTCGCGCGCGAAAGACCACGGGGCCCGCGCGGGGCCTTCGCGCGCGAGCTGCTGGCTCCGTGAAAAAAAAAGAGCTCTGCGCGCGGGGCCTTCGCGCGCAGAGCTCAGCTGCTTTTTTTCACGGGGCCAGCAGCTCGGCGAGGGAGGCCCTGCGGCGAATCGACGAAGGAGGAGCGCCCCTCGGGGTCAAGCCGCGGCACCAGCCGCGGCGAGGAGGGAGCCTCTGCCGCGGCCCACGCCACGCGCGACGAGGGAGAGGAGCGGCAGAGCTCATCCCTTGTCCCTTTTATCGGGCGCGGCCTAACCGACCTCCAGCAGGCCGTTCCCTTCCGTGACGTCCTCCTCGCCTTTCGAGCTCCCCCCCGGCCGCAGACATGCGTCCCGGGGCGAGGCGAGGGGGACGACACGGGAGGGGATGGCTTCCTAGGGGTCGGTTAGGCCACCCCTGACCTAAGACAGTGACTGACAAGCCCAAGCCGATTGCGATCGCGTTCCCGGGGGGACCCGTGTCGCTTGGGCCGTCTTGGAGCCTCCAGGATCTGTCGCTGGCCGACGTGGGCTCGAAGCAGCCGCCGATTGGCAGTCTGAGGCATGTGCCCTCGGAGGCTGAGGGGATCCCTAAGATCGGCACCGACACAGGGCGAGGCCAATCTTAAGCATGGGGCTATTCTGCGGCAACTCATGGGAGAATCCCATCCGATCCTGTTGGCTCTTGCGAATCAACGCCAATCGACGCTAAACCGACGCAAAGTAGACGCTAAACGACGCAGATCGATGCTAAATCGGCGCATCTCATCGATTACCAAACGCTGATCGACGCCAATACACTCTAAAAACTGACTTACGGGGGGTATACTAGCCTCCCGCGATTTGCTACCGAAAAGATGTGTCGAGGATCTACTGACCCGGGTCAATGCAAACCTGGGTCAGTTAGGCTGCGCAGGATCCTACAAGATCCTGCACGACCCTGCAGGATCGTGCGCGCAGACCCAGGGTCGGTGCACCCCTGGCTCTGCAGGATCCTGCAAGACCCAACTAACTACTCGCAAATGGCCTGGATCCGCCGCGAGGGATCTATGATTGATTAACTCGAAGCAGACATGTGTTTTTCAGACGTTTGTGAGGAGGCACTTTGCGAGTAGTGGAACGCGTTCGGAGACGAATGTGTATCAGGCTGCTTTTCAAAAGGCCTTCTGAGAGGGCCTTCTCAGAAGAGCTTCTGAGAAGGCCTTCTCAGAAGGCGGGCCTTCTCGAAAGAGACGGGGCTTCTCGGAAGCCCTCCGGCCTTTTGAGAAGTGTTTTCTGTGTCTTCGGGGGGAGGCTGAGAAAACATCTCAGAATGCCCGGGAACGTCCGAGCCTTCTAAGAAGGCCCGCTCCTTTTCACTTACCCCCAGGTTCGCCGCGGATACTAGGGGACGCACAAGACATACTAGTACCATGTGTCCTCAGTGGAGGCGTGCGTCCGACCCGAACATATAGTACAGCCATCATGTAGTCTGTTGTTTCTCGAGCGGTATGGCAATGAAACCCCGCCACGGATCATGTACTGCTTGAGTTCTGTGCGCGCGCGTTGACCCAGCACATAGTTTTTGCATGTTTGGGTGATGCCCATCCTGGGGTCGTGCGGCATTGGCTCCCGGGCGGTGGATCCATCAATAAGTTCAGGTCAGGGTCACTGTATTGCATCTCTGTACAGGGCCGCCTGCACCCCTACTGTACAGAGTAAGGTGGACCGTGAAAGACCGTACGTAGCTGCTCAACGCGCCAGTTTGCCACCCTCTCCGCAAGAGGCCCCCAGAGACCCGCAATAGGCCCCAAGAGGCCCCCAAGAAACCCAAAAGAGGCTCCAAGAGGCCATAAAACGGCCCCCCAGAGGCCTCAAAACTGCCTCCAAGAGGCCTTCCACGAGATCCCAACGAATATCCAATAGGCTTCATAGCCACAACCGAAGCACGGTGGCGGGATGGGTCGAAGGCCCATAGATACGTCTGTACAAATATACCTATGTGTACATACGTATGTGTGTGCATGTATGTGGTATACAAACATTCATGCATGCATGCATGCATACATACATACATACATACATACATGCATGCATGCATACGTACGTACGTACGTACGTACGTACATACATACATACATACATGCGTACATCCATATACATACATACATGCATACATACATGCATACATGCATGCATGCATCCATACGTACGCACGCACGCACGTATATACATGCATACATACATACACAGATGCATACATACAAACAAACAAACATACAAACAAACATGCATACAAACCTACATACATACATGCATGCATATACACATACTGACATACTTACACGCATACATGCACGCAAACGTACATGCATACGCACGCACGCATACACACATACACACGTACAGCAATAGATGCATACATACATACATACATGCATGCATGCATGTATGCATGCATACTATCATACATGTATACGTGCATACGTGCATACATGTGTATATATAGAGATGTGTGTGTACATTCGTACATACATATATACATATACCTATACATATACATATGCGTATACATCTACATGTGTATACAACTATACAAATGCATGCGCATGTACGTATGCATGTACATATGCATATACATATACATGTAAAGATGCATATGCCTACATGCATACATGCATTCGTGCATACATACACACATACATGCATGCATACATGTATACATGTATACATACATACATACATACATACATGCATGCATACATCCATACATACGTACATACATACATACACACATATGAAACAGACATACATACACATGCATACATACATACATGCATGCATGCATACATAAATACATGCACACGCACATGCACGCATGCATATATGTATACGGACATGCATTCATGCATGCATACAAACGTAAATACATGCATGCATACAGATGTACAAACATACATGCATGTATATAGACATACAGACATGCAGACAGGCATACATACATACGTACACGCATGCATTAATGTATACATACATACGTACATACATGCATGCATGCATGTATGTTGGCATGTATGCATGCATACAAACATGCACACACGCACACATACATATGCACATACAAACAAGCATACAGTACAGTACTCTGGATCATATTGGATTGCATCGCACTACACGACACTACACTGTAGTATATTACACTACACTACACTACACTACATACACATGCATGAATACAAAGATGTATACAAACATAGATTATACATACATGATTCCCTGGTTCCTTTTTCCCGACAGCTCGCATAAGGCGGGCTCCAGCAGCCCAGCTCGGGCTCGGGCTCGGCCTTGGGCCCGGGTTTGGGCTCTGTCTCGGGCTCGGGCTCCGGCCAGGGTTTCCAACCTGGCCCGACGTCCGCAGTGACCCGCTCTTCAAAGAGGCAACCATGTTCGAGGAACGAAAAGCTTCATAGACAGAAACTGTCAGAGGTCCGCGCGGATTTCTTGCATCGGCGCTGGAGCCCCCTGGCGGCGCCTCCAGCGCCGCTCCTGGCGAGCTCCGCGTGCCAGGGAGGGGGTCCAGAGCAGATCCAAGAAACCCGCGCGGACCCTTGAAAGTTCATGCGTATGCAACTGGCTGTTCCTTGACACGTGTGAACCCCACCCCTGCAGGTCCAATTTCAGCAAAACCAGCCAGGATCCAGAATTCGAAGGATGTCCGCAGCCAGTAGAATCCCAGCGGGGGTATCCGACACCTGCGCGTCGATTGGACCCGCCCAGGCAGGGTTGGCAAGTGGTCGCCGATCGGAGGCGCCCGCCTTCGACCCTCGAGGTCTGGCTGCGCCCTCGGGGGTGGACCGGCTTGGGGAGGAAGCATCGAGCCTGGAATCAGCGATACATCGCCGACAGATCGGCATCAGGACCTCCGTGGCGAAACCAAGTGGTCCTGGGCGGGGGCCGATGCAGAACCCCCCCCCTGAGCCTGTCCACCCTGTACGCTGCCCCTGATCCCGAGGGCTCGCGGGCGCCCGGAGGTCTTGAAGCAGGCGGAGGGGAGGGTAATAAATGGCAAGCAGAGGAAAGAAGGCGAAGGGAGGAGGAAGGATGGAGAAGGGAGGAAGGAGTGGAAGTAGGGAGGAAGAGGTAGGAGGAGGGGGGAGGAGGAAGAGGAGGAGCAGGAGGGAGGAGGGAGGAGGTAGGAGGTATGAGGGAGGAAGAAGGAGGGAGGAGGGAGGAGGGCGAGGGAGGGAGTCGATGATCCGGCTTGGGCCGCCCCCGGCCGCCATGCCGGCAATGGACGCGGCGTTCACCACGGAGTTGATCACAACCTGCCGCCGTCGCCGCCGCCGCCTCCTTTCTCCTCCTGCTCTTCCTCCTCCTCCTCCTCCTCCGCCTCCTCATCCTCCACCCCTCTTCCTTATGAATGACTCCTGCCCATCACGCCCCGAGACGGGTCGGTAGGGCGGGCCGGACGTTTCGCTTGAGACTTCCTCCCCATGTATGCTCCTGCAGCTTGAACTGTGCAACTGGTTCACGCATGGAGGACGGGTGGTTTTCAAAATGTGGCTCTCGCCTAGCGCCGCGCACATTCGCTGTCAAAGATTGAAAAAGCTTCACTGAGCTTCACGGATGGAGGGCGGGTAATTTTCAATATGTGGCTCTCGCCTTAGCGCTGTTAGCGCTGCGCACATCAGTCTTACAATGTTGACAGAGTTTCACAGGCAGAGGGCGGGCTGTTTTCAGCATGTGCCTCTCGCCTTAGCGCCGCGCACATTCGTCCTCAAAGTTTGCAAAAGCTTCCCCGATGGAGGGCGGCTCCTGTTCAAAGTGGGTTCTGGCCTCAGCGCCGCGCATATTCGTCTTAACAGTTTACACTATCTTCACGGGTTCGTATGATCGACATCCCAAAAAATCATGGTTTGGCACGATTGGGGATTGTCACGTCGCGACAATCGCGTTGATCCGTGTTGACGTCCCAGAAATTGCGTTCAGGCACGATGTAGGAGCGTCAGGTCGCAACAGTACCGTTGATTCGCGGCTTTGAAGACCCAGGAATGCTGTGTTCGCAAAGTTGAGAAGGTTCAAACGCTTGTCTTCCAACGGGGCTCTTGCCGCTGTGAAAAGAAAACTCTTTATAAGAGCCTATGAAGAGGGAACTTGGACGGAGGCTGTATTTCAACATCGTTGATGGGTCTTGGATTTGCACTTGTCCTCCTTCACCTCCACCTCCTCCTCCACCTCTACTTGCACCTCCAGCTCCTCCTCCTCCTCCTCCTCCTCCTCCTGCTCCTCTTCCTCCTCCTCCTCCTCCTCCTCCTCCTCTTCCTCCTCCTCCTCCTCCTCCTCCTCCTCCTCCTCCTCCTCCTGCTCCTCGTCCTCCTCCTCCTCACATTGCTCCTCCTCTTCGGACCCTCCCACCCCCTACCCCGATGGTCCCCTGCCCTTCCCCTCGGAACTATCCGAACTCCTTGCAGGTCTGTGGCAGGCCGTGCACGACACGGGACCGCCTCACCCGCCTACCACTCCCATATCGGGGGCGGATGGAGGTGCCCCTGGCTCAAGGTGCCCCCAGTGTTTCGCTCAGCTTTGGAGCCCCGGGGGCCCTCTGGGCCTCGTGGGGGGTGCTCGGGAGGCCGTGGGTGCCTCCTGGGATATCTTGGGGGCGGCCAGAGGCACTTCTAGCAACACCCGACCATGCCCTCTCCTCCCCCCCTCCTCCCCGTTTCCACCTGCCCGGCCTCCCCGTCCTACCCGTCCTCACCCTCTCCCACCCACATTCCCCCCCTCAGATGCTCGTTCTGGAACCTTCCTGGAGCCACTCGCTCCACTCATGCGTCGATGCTGCGTAGAACCTCGGTCGACTTGAATCAAGATAAAGTCGAGCCTGGGTCGAATTTGAGTCGAACTTGAGTCGAACCTGAGTCGAACTTGAGTCGAACTCGAGTCGGACTAGAGTCAAAATAGAGTCGCACATATCTGCGAGGTCGTTCCCAGGAAGGTCCCCAAAACGAGCGTCAGCTCCCCTCCCTCCTCCCGCCCCGTTCTGACCAATGCTCAACTCCCCACATCGGCTCCACCCTCCGTGCTGGCGCGCACTTCTGCTGCAGTTCTGTCGATATAGTCCCCGAGACTGCGAGCAGCCTCACACTAGTCCGATACACGCCTCCAGGAACCAATCGCCTGGCATCCCCGCGTATGGCAGGCTCGTTTCGTGCCGACTTCGCCGTTGGTTCTTGCCACCGCAGGGATCGTTCAACCTTGAAGGATCGCCCGTTTTCGAAACGCCGGATCGTTCAACGATGAGCCGACCCTGGGCCACGTGCAACGTTCAACCTAAAAACGCCCGCGCTGGGGTTGGCCGCCAGTCGACGCGACCCAGACCTACCGCACTCGGTCCCACCACTCTGCCGCCGATGCTCAGCTCGCCGCATCGGCCCACGCCTCCGTGATCGGGCCCCCGAGCCTGCGCGCAGCCCACAGAGGAGACCGATCGGGGCGTCAGCGCCGCCGACTCTCGAGGCACGGCGTCGAGCTCTGGCCGCCTGGCACGGGCCTCGACCCTCCAGGGGGAAGACAAAAGCAGCAGAACGGCACCCCGAGTTGTTCCACAGGCGCGGGGGGGGTGCATCGCACTGGGGAAACGACCAGTGACATCAACAAAACAACTCGGAGGTCCGCGCGGATTTCGAGGGTCGGCGCTGGGCCCTCCCTGGCGCGCGGACCGCGCAACGGGCGGCGCCGGGGGCACCGCCAGGAGGGTCCGGCGCGGATCCGAGAAATCCGCGCGGACCTCCGAGTTTTGGAGTGCAGCGGCAACGGCTTCCGGAAATCCATCCGACCGATAAACCGATAAACCGATAAAAACTAATCGGTTGAACGGTTTGCAAACCGATCAACCGAAAAACCGATATAATTTGATCGGTTTATCGGTGGATCGGTCGCTCAACCGAAAAACCGATAAACTCTGTATGCGAACATAGAAGCGATTGCTGGCGCGCCCCCCTCTCTTCGTCGGTTTATCGGTTGATCGGTTTATCGGTTGATCGGTTTATCGGTTGATTGGCTGGTCTGAGACCGCTGGGGGGGAACCTGTGGAGGCGATCCTTGTGCCGCATATCGGTTTATCGGCTTATCGGGTTATCGGTTGGTTGTCAGTTCCCCGCCACGACGACGACGGCGACGGCGACAGTGGCCGGACCGCCATGGGGCAGGGCACCTCCGAAGTCAGAGAGAGGTGCGAGGGCGTCTCAGGCGCAAGTGGCCTGAACACCGCATCTCGGGGAAGATCGGGGGTCAGACTACGTGAAGGCAGGGCGCATCCCAGGTCAACGCTGCGAGTTTTTGTGTAGGCGGAACTGGCCAGGACAATTTGGAGCAGGGAAGAATATCAGAGGTCAGCGTTGCGAGGATGTCTCAGGATGAGGATGAGGAAGGTCATGCTGATGATAATGATGGCGATGGCGGCAGCCGCGCGGGAGGCAAAATCTGGCGGGGCAAATTTCGGCGGGAAGCAAGTGCGAGGATGGCTCAGGCGATGGTGGCCAGATTACTTCAACTCAAAGAATATCGGATCCCAGAATGCTGCGGATGCTTTAAGCGAGATGCGCCGGTGTGGTGAAGATGTCCCAGGCGAGAGCGCTAATAATCACTTGTCGTGGCGCGTTGGAGCCCAGACTTCCGAGGATGTCTCACGAGGAACGGGCCTCTTCCTCCTCCTCCTCCTCTGCGTCGTTGTCGTCGTCCTCCTCCTCCTCCTCCGTGTCCTCCTCCACCTCCTCCTCTTTTCAGAATCAAGGGCGCGCGATTGCGGTAAGCCGCCGTGAAGCGCTCTAATTGGACGGATTGCCACGGTGAGGCAAGGATATGAGGGGGTAGCCAGGAGTCGGAAGACACCCCAGCGTCCTCATCCCATTCGTCCCCTCAATGATGCGCTGTCCCTTCTCGGGACTGGGGGGGCAAGGAACACCTTCGTAGTGGGTCTGATTTGCCGGGCCATCGAACATTCATTTGCGTGGCAATCGAATCGGTCACCCAGGATGCCGGTTCTGCCTCGACGAAGCCTCATGGACGATGCTGGGGTTCTTCCCCCCTAATCTCATGGTGGGGCTCGCCAGCCACCGGCGCTTGATACCCGGTCCCCCCTTGGGCGTTGGTACCCATAAGCCAATCGAATTCTAACAAGCTCCTCCTCCTCCTCCTCCTCCTCCTCCTCCTCCTCCTCCTCCTCCTCCTCCTCCTCCTCCTCCTCCTCCTCTGCCGGCCGAGCCGGGCCGAACCGCAGGCGGGCCAGCCAAAACGGGGACGAGGACGAGGATGAGGAGGAGGACGACGTCGACGACGACGACGACGACGACGACGGCGACGGCGACGGCGACGGCGACGGCGACGGACGACGACGACGACGACGACGACGACGACGACGACGACGACGACGACGACGACGACGACGACGACGACGCCGCCGCCGCCGCCGCCGCCGCCGCCGCTCTCGTCGCCGTCTTCGCCGCCGTCGTCATCGTCGCCGTCGTGGCGCACCCCTCGACTTCGAATCCGTCCAAAACGGGTCCTCGGACCTCTCCCAGGGTCAAAAGGCACCAGCTTCTGTCGCCGCGTCCGGCCGCGGCGACGCGGGGGGCCCCCGAAGGCCAGAAAGCCTCGGTGCTCGCGGGGTCGTGGGGCGCACCACGACGACGACGACGACGACGACGACGACGCGGCGGCGGCGGCGGCGGCGGCGGTGGCGACGGCGTCGTCGCCGTCGTCGTCGACGTGCACCCCGCGACCCAAATCAGTTCCGAACGGGTCCCCGGACTCTTCCCAGGATCAAAACGCACCAGCCTCTGTCGCCGCGTCCGGCCGTGGCGACGAGGGGGGCCCCGAAGGCCACAAAGCCTCGGTGCTCGAGGGGTCGGGGGGTGCACCACGACGACGACGACGACGACGACGACGATGACGACGACGACGACGACGACGACGGCGGCGGCGGCGGCGGCGGCGGCGGCGACGGCGTCGTCGCCGTCGTCGTCGTGCGCCCACCCGACCCAGAATCCGTCCCAATCGGGCCCCAGGACTCTTCTCAAGGTCAAAAAGCACCAGCCTCTGTCACCGCGTCCGGCCGCGGCGACGAGGGGGGCCCAGGAAGGCCAGAAAGCCTCGGTGCTCGAAGGGTCGGGGGTGTGTACCACGACGACGACGACGACGACGACGACGACGACGACGACGACGACGACGACGACGACGACGACGGCGGCGGCGGCGGCGGTGGCGGCGGCGGCGGCGGCGGCGACGGCGGCGGCGGCGGCTGCGACGGCGTCGTCGCCGTCGTCGT